TTACAAACACTTTATTACAGACGTCCCATCAATCAGTTCCATGAGATCTTTGAATCTGTTGGGGGAGGGGGGCAACGTCGGCATCAGCATGTGTTGAGGTCAGTTCCTGGTTTATGGACACCTGGTGTAGTTGAGTTTCGGTGATTTAGTACTTCAGACATGAGGAGCCTCTACATTGCACGAAAGGACTTTAAGCAGGCTTTCGTGATTTGGGCTGAAGGGGGCATCAGACAACTACAGCTTCGGCACTTGCATGACTTCGGACAATGGCCTCCTCTGTCGTCCTTGACTATGTTGACTCTCCCAATGACTTTTCAACTGGCTCTGCGTTCACTTGACTGTAAGGGACGCGTGGCTGTCCATGTGGATATGCTGTGTACATGGCAGTCCACGTGGAGTGCTGACTTAGCACCTCTAATTTTGGGGGGTAACACCATATATCCCGGTTGATGTGCGAACCCCGAGTCTACCAAATAATAGTTTCCCGCTGCTGGTTCTGGGAAACAAATTTCTAGACTATGTATTGCGCGTGCCAGTATACGAGCGTTGTGCGTATTCCCAGTTGTGCCAGCAAGCACGAAAGTGAAACACAAATTAAAGTCACAAATCAACAATACATTTTGCGTTGGCACTCCTTTTCGGCCAATGAAGTTCACCCGCTCGTGACGTGGAAGTACAGTTTTCACATGCGTTCCATCTATCACACTTATGCAATCTTCGAACAATGGATGCTTATTCGGATCTGGTTTGTGGGGATCTGCACCATCGTTGTAGTTCGGTCTTGGCTGTATGAGCCGAGCAGATAACACAACGACCGCACGAAGAACCTACTTGAAGTACTGACATATTGTTTGCAATAAATGATTGAAAATTGTATTCACCTGTCGGTAACCTTTTCCATGCGCTAATATGCACAAGAACATACCGACCTTCTCATATATATCGACTTGCTGGTTACTGCGTAGGCCGTATTCATCCCTCAAGGTATGAGCAAAGTGTCGTAGTTGCTGTGGGTACATCTGGAACTCATGATAGCACATTTGTGCATTCTTTCCTCCATCGCTTCCTTCATAAACATATGACCGTTCCTAGCGAAAGGAAATCGTCGGATGGGACATTGTTGTTTGCGATAGTAGTGTGACGCGTCGCTTACTGCAATTAGACAAAACGTCATCCATTTCATGACGTTATTTGCCAGTTGGCCAATGAACTCTTCATCATCGACTTCTTCGTCGTCTTCTGATCCAGAAAGAATATCACAGTTAAAATCTAACCTGTCCATGATGTAATTATCCAAAATTATTGCTTTAGCTAGTAATTTTGCAAAAAAAATTATAAGATATTGAAGCCTTCTCTGAATGGAATGATGTGTTACTATCATAGCAATCATCCCAAGTATTTTTATATACGCAAGTTTAGACTGTTTGCACGTGAAATCATCCCAATACATGCAATACATTTATTAGTTTGATCTTCTTGCCGGACGTAAATTGTAAATCTATGCTTTCTTTACCAACAACTTTGATTGAACTTCATTCCCCATTTGAATGTGTTCATCATCTACTTCATCATATATTTTGAAAAGGGATCTATTATTGCACACATGTATGGTGGCACAAGTATTATACCACCATCCATGAACCATTCCTTTGACCGAATTCACAATGCTCACGGTAACAATAATGTTGTCAACGAAGTTTACTCTGCCTTCTTGCATTGGTTGTTTGCAATATCTACAATCTTGAGTATAATGTTTGAGTTTGCCACACACATAATAAGAAACTTTGAATTTCTTCCTATTATTTTTGTTGGGGTTTGAGGATTTGATTTTCTTGAAATTCTTGTATTATTTGTTTGGTTGATCCACGACATGGGCTTTAGAAGTGCCCTCATAAGAATATTCACGCTCATCTCGTGCCCTTGACTCTTCCTCTATGCGAAGATGCTTTTGAATCTCTTCCAAAGAATAATCTTGGGAACTGTGAAAAATTTTCTTCATCTAACTCTTCCATGAAGATGACAATTTCGCAATGATTGCACCGACTTGAAATATTTCGGGAAGATCAATCTTCACAGCCTTTATTTTATTTACAATAACTTACAACTCATATACTTGTCCTAACAATGGCAAGTTATCCAAAAATTTGAAATTAAAATATTTAGAAATCAGAAACTTTTTGTGACCATAAACTTTTTGCGACCTTCTTCCTCGACCTTGTATCTGGTTTTCAACGATTCTCATATTTCATTTTCCGAATTGTTATTTATGTAGAGATCATAGAGGCGATTGGAGAGAGAATTCAGAATGTGTCATTTACATATCAATTCATCTTATTATTCCTTTTCGCCCTTATTTTGTCGGTGTCATTTGGGGTTGGTTCCGGCAATGACGCCCAGTCTGAATCCAAGATATAAAAGATTTTCAAGGTTGTAAGAAGAAATCTCAACTTGTCCTTCCATGATGTAAAGTTTGACCTGTCGAATCTGTCAAGCCTGAGAAGATTTTGATTCATTATCTTTATCATAGTCATAGTTGTCTCGTTCTCCATGTTGAAAGTACCATTTAAGATTGTTGAGAAAAGTTGATGAAGAACAAGAAAAACCGCAACAAGAATTTCGCTAAAATAGAATCACTTTCCTTAAACGATATTTGCCGCCATCGGGATAAGTGCTTGAAGGCTTCAATAGCAAATAGTTTGCAGGACTAAAAAAACCTTAATCCAAGTTAGAATCAAACAAAACAACACTTGGAAAAGAACTTTTAAAACAAGTATATAAAACTTGATTTGATCTTTTGATTTGGATATAAGTGTATCAATTTGATATTTATGATATGTTTTTCAACATGAAAACCATCCATATATATAATACCACAATCTCCATGCATAAAAAGATACAAAAAATAAAGCCAAAAAGGTATGAAACCCTTCAAAATGACACCAGAATTCAAAACCCCAACCGGAAGGCATATTTTAAGTTGGAAAGTGCTGGATGAGATTTTGGAAATAATGTATTTTGAAATAGTAATTTTTGGGAGAATGTGAACAATATCCAACACAGTTCATCAAATTTGCCCCTATAATTGCAACACAAGTTCAGCCTTCACCGTTTTTTGTTTTCATTTTGTTTTCGCTTGTTTTCTCATGGTTGACCACTTCCATTACTTCTAAAATCACTCCTCATTATCTGATAAAAAAATAAAATTACTCATCATTATTAATTTGAACAATATCCAACACAATGTGCTAATTATCACTCCACAACAGATTTCACTATTTTGCTATGTATTGACGTTGCAACTTACAACACAGATCGATATTTTGGAAAAAGAACAAGTCTTTGAGAAGCAATTTACTGAATAGATTATCGGGCTAGTCCATTTTATCATTTGGAACTGAAATTATGTTTCATTATGAAATAGTAATCAAGCCAGCTTGCCTTAACATATATGAGCGTATCACATGAAATAGATAATGCATTCACCACGAAAATTAAGCAAAACTAATAATATTTCGTAGATCTTGTCAATCTATAGTGAAAACATCCTCTAGTGACTAAAACAGATTAGAAGACGCTTCAACAAACTCATCTACTTCCATATCTGTACAGAGAACACATGAATTACACATAATAAAAATTTAAAAAGGAAGGAATTGATCAACAATGATATGCGAATATGTGACATCTAAATTATAAAATAGCAAATCACACCACTTATAGTATGTAACACTTTGCATACTAAATTTTTTAACTATTTTTTATTCTCTAAAAATTCAATTACTGTTATAAAATAGAAAAATAAAAAGAGAGAGTAATAAAGAAGATAATAAACTTGTGTGTTTTATTAAGAACAAAAACTTCATATTTCTATGGAAAAATTAGGGATACAATGGTAATAAAAACTAGGGCTGCAAAGATATAATTGTCATTAACTAATAATCATATTATTTGTAATACCCCCTTAAATGACACATTACAGAATATCCGGCTCATTAATACCTTGTTAAGAAAAATCAATGAGACAAAATTTGAGCTAAGAAAAAAGATTAAAGTTGCTCCTTGTGATTTTAAAAAATAAAAATTCTTGTATCAAGTCATCCATGTTTTGTATGTCAATGTCTTCAATGTTGCAATTCTGGTGAAACATGTTTCGTGTTGTCTTGTTATAGCCTTAAAATAACATCATCTTCATATGAGATATTTTATCAACTTTTGATGACTGTAGTAATAGCTAGCTCTTATTGATCTCTTCGAGAGTATCATTCATATATATATATATATACA